AATGTAAATTTTCACAGGTAGAAGGTTCGGAGCAAGTCGAAGCGGTTCGGTTTCCAGTGACTGGTCATATTGGACAGATGTGCTGCCTCTGCCATCACTGCCCAGGTTTAAAATGAGAAATAAACATTCCGCATGCTTCCTTTGCGGTTAAAGTGAGCATATTTCCGCAGCACGGGAGTAGATAAATATTTCTCATATATGTGAAATAATTACAGATAAGTTGGCCATGTTGGAAGAAGAAGAGCATTACTTAGCTTGATCAGTATACAGGATGAAACGGGGTGTTGTGTAATATTTCGTGTAAACTGATATCTATATGTATTTAAACATTGCTTTATACTTACGCTTTGTCTCAGACTCACATGTAGAGGAATGTGGTAACGGTACCGTAGGCTTAAAAAATACCCAGCATTAAGTTAGAAGAGAAATCTGTCGGAAAGGGACGGGGTGGCTCGCCGGCGCAGTCGGCTGTCCGGCTGCGGGTATTAATTTGACAGGATGCTTGTCGCCAGACGGGCGTGCGGATCTGTCAGTGCATCAACAAAAGTTGATGTCTCAGCACGTCGGAGTCCAGTACTGTGTCATTAAAGAGGAACATTTGACACCAACCTTGAGAGAAAAATCATTCAGTTTCGAGTGATGCGTGTTATTCACAAAACTAACACAATCATTACAGGAGGTGGGTGTGGGCCAGGAATCACTCTGATGACGCTTGAACACTGACTTTGTTCAAAAATAAACAAGGTTTTTCACCAAGGGTGAAAAGTAACAAGGTACATTTACTTGAGAACTGCACTCAAATACATTTTTTGTGCACCTGTAAATTTAATCCAGTATATGTAAAAGTACAAATATTGTACTTTTGACTCCACTACATTTCTATGAAGGTTATCTTTACTAATTACATTAGTGGAAGAATTTTAAGTGCGATAGTGTGTTCGTTGAAAAAATGAAACCAATCACAGTAAACTACTCCTAATTAAGCTGTCACTCAGGTTACTGTTGGGCAGTTATACAGCTGGAGGTGCGTAACTGGGTTGGTTGCTTAATTATTTTTTAATTTTCCTTCTACAGCAACTCTACTGTCTGCTTGATGAACACACGTGCGCGCACACACATGCACACACACACACACACACACGGCCAGAGCTGTGTCAGAACATTACCATGCTGTTTTGTGGGAGTGGGATAGGGAGGATGGTAAATTAAATGAAAATGATAATGGATGTGCTTTTGTTGATTCAGTTGTGTTTCTTTAGTTATTGTATCATGTTCCACAAGCTATTTATTCTACAGGTTCTACGCGCAAGTCAATGCATTCAGTAGGTTGTTTCATTAAGTCATTAGGTTCTGTAAATACATTGTGGCAACAATACAGACGCTCCTCTACTTACGAACTTTCAAACTTTCAGACATACAAACGAAGAGGATTGTAAGTCCAAATTGTGTTCATTACGGAAGAGGATTAGGGCCACCATGAACATATTATTTGAATAGATTAAAGTCAGAATTCTGACATACTTTCGAATTCTTAAGTATTTTTAAATCAAGTACTCCAGTAATTTAACTCGAGAAGAATCTGATTGAAGAACTTTCACTTGTATTGGAGAAATATTCGACCAGACGTACCTGTACTCTGACTCAAGTCTTGGAGTTGTGTATTTTGTCCACCTCTGCCTTTTGGTAATAAATTTGCGTACTTAGTGGATAAATAGAGCACATATACGTCAGTCCCAGACCAATTAGAAACATTTCTATTTCATTTACATTCTGATTATTTGTTGATTCTTAGTATGTTGCATGGCTGCTGTTCCAGAAAAAAAATTACTTCTGCTTACTGAGAATGGAAAATAATTTGAAAAGAAATGAGAATGAATCAGGCCTTAGGAGATTATGCTCTCCTGTGGTTGGGTTGCACCACGCGTCAACATGATGAGAACAGTTGATGATCTTTACTGAGCTGAACCCTTAATAGGAAGTGCAAAGTCCAGCCATTGCCATTCAGTGTTGGTGACCCTGTTCTTTTAAAAAATAATCCAACTCCCCCATCCTAATGATATTATTCCTGTAGGGATTTTTCCAACCTGGCCTCTTGAATGAATGTAATATATTATTGAACAAGCGTGAATTTTACCCTTAAAAACTTAAATAGAAATGAGGAAACTTAAGTTGTAGCCCGAGTAAAAACAGAACTGGTCTTCCCAGAAATGTGACACTGGCTTTCTCATTGCACCTTGGACACT